AACATCAAACTGTCACTTAGGTCACCTTGACAGTGGTATGTGGAGGAGGAAGCCCAGCCCCGGGGCACTAAAGTCTTCCACAATGTGATCCCTTCCTGCCTCTGCAGGCTGAAATTCTTCCAAACTCTCTCAGACCATAAGGGAAATTGTTACAATGAAAACCTACAGCATATCTCTCCAGGGGTTACCTTTTTTTTTTTTTTAAAAAAAAATTTTGTAGTTGTTGATGGATAGAATGCCTTTATTTTGTTTATTTATTTATTTTTAATGGGGTGCTGAGGATGGAACCCGATGCCGCCCATGTGCTAGGCAAGCGCTCTTCCACTGAGCGATAGCCCCCAGGGGTTACCTAATTCTAAGTCTAGAGAACTTTCAATGCCTTTGAACTATTTTTAAAGTATTTAAATGGAAGATAACAGTTAGTAATGCAAAAGAATTCTTATCTATAGATGAAAAAAATTGCTGAGAGAAGGTTCAGTTGACTTCCCTCCCCCATGGGGAAGAGGCCAATTTTGCTTCTGGGTTGCACGCTGACTTCACTCTCTCAGATTTACAAACATGTCTGCTTTTTGGATTTTCTCCTGAACTGGTTGTAACATCTCTCACTGATAATAAGCAAAATAAAACCTTTAACATGTATATTTGTTTTATATCCTTGTGAGAGTCCTCGTTCACCTGTTTTTGAAGATTTAACAATTCATAACTTCTGCCTGAATAACACACACCTTCAGTTCCCAAAGGTAACTTAGAATGTCTTTCTCTGTTCAAGGTCTTTGCAAAAAACATTCATCTGAAATTTGTCACGTTATATGCCATCAATACTAAGAAAAATCCTATTGTTTTAGGTGCTTGATAAACTGTTTCCTTTTAGAAATTTTTTTCCTACCATCAGGCCCTGAAGCCCCAAAAGGTTCATTGTGGCACTTCATATGCACGTGGGCCCAGGCCAAAGCCACATCTGGATTGGAAGTTTCTGGAATGTGGATCCCGTTTCTCAGGGTTTCTGGGGAACATATTCTATGTCTCCCCATCCCATACAGAGCTCTGTGTGTATGTGCACATGCAGTTTGCTAAACTGAAGACCTCCAGGATCTGGACAATCGTTCATTCTCTTTACTTACAAAGTCTTCGCAGTTAACTTAGCTATTTAAAATATCAGTAGCATTATTCATCTTTAAAACTCCGCTGGGAATTGTCTTCCTTCTTTAATTTTGATTCTGTTCCTGGTAGGACTTTCTCACTACCAGGGAAGGGGAGACACAGTCCACAGAGCTCTGGGCCTCTCCAGCCTGCTCAGAGGTCAAGCCACACTCCTGTCTTCCTAGCCTGGGGTCATCATTTATCTGATTACAGATTTCTTTTTTTTTCTCTCTTTTTCTTGCTTTATTCCAATGGATAGAAATTTGAATACAATGCTGAATAGGAATGTAGAAAGTTGACAACCCTTGTCCCATTTTCAGTTTTAAAAGGAGAGTACTAATTTATCCCTTTCACTAGACTAGGGGCCTCTCGGGTGGGCTTCATGCTTCCTTCATGCTGTTATCCAAAGGTGGTTTAATACCAGCACTGGGATGCCTGTAGCAGGACTGCATAGGAATAGGTCAAAAGCATGTTCTCCTCTCTCCCCTCGTTTCTTAGTTATAAAATACTCTATTTTTCAATAGATACATGGTTGCTAAAAGTAAAAAAAAAAAGTTTTAATCTTTCTTACTGCTAATTGTGATCATGTGGTTAATATCTAACCAAATGAATATAAGCAGAAATGACCGGTACAACTAATTTGTTTTTTATATAATTCTAATTTTTTATATAATTATTTTTCCACTTTTCCTTCCTGCTGCCTGGAATACAGATGTAGTGGCTGAGTTTTTGCAGCCATAATGATTTTGAAAATGTAAGCAATATATAAAAAAGAAAAAAAAATTATATAATTCCCACCCAGACTGATTTCCTCCATACTTCTTGAACATGGGAGAAATACATTTTTATCCTGTTTAAGCCACTTATTGTGTCTTTGGCAGTCAAATCTAATAACTGATTCAGGACCTTAGGTCCTTTGCTTACTGAAAACTCCCCTTTGAATTTTTACCACCCTGACTTTTAGCAAGAAACAGACTATAGAATAAAAAGCACTGGTGTTGTTATACTCAGAACACATGGATTCCAGTCTTGGCTGCTTCACGTTTTAGTCACATACTATGGAGCAACTTTCCAGAGAGCCATCACCCCTGAATGTAACAGTGTATGGATTGTTATACTTTATAAACTCTCTCTTCATTGGAGTTATTGGAAGGATTGACAGAAGTCAGATGAGCGGGGCTTTTCTTCTTGGCTTCTATTGGGAGTAAGAATAAAGTGAAGCACAGATTGGTTAAATGGAGGGGTGAGCCTGCAGGATGAGGCCATGAAAGGCTAAAAGCCCAGCCCTCTACACCCTATTATTCCACAGGGACATTTAAATGGAGGATACGATATGCATATTCTCTCAACATGGTACAGTTGTACCCTGTTTAAGGCAAGTACTTCGCATAGCGCTTGTCCTCTGCTAAGTATTGAATGTTACCATTTATTACTAATTCAAACTAGTCTATAGTCAATAGGGTCTATGCAATCCAAGCTTCTCCAGCATGCTCTCTTCCTATACATAGAGCTCTTTGAGAATCCAGATTAAAATCCTACTGCTTGGAATCAAAGCAAGGGAAATTATATAAATGTTTAAACCAGAAAACTAAAGAGACTTGATACATCCATGGCCTTGCCAGTGGAACTGTGAGTATTATAATAATCTGTTGCTTGAAATGGCTTTGTCTTAATTCATTTTGTACTGCTATAACAAAATACCCAGGGATGGATAATTCATAAAGAACAGAGATTTCTTTTTCACAGTTCTGGAGGCTGGGAAGCCCAAGGTCAAGGCAACAGTAGAGCAGGTTCATCATCGGGTCTCTGCTTCCAAGACGGCACCTCGAATGATGTGTCCTCATGTGGAGAAGGCTAAAAGGGGGTGAGCTCCCTTGGTCAAACTCTTTTATAAGGGCACCTATACCCTGTCACCAGGGAGCAGCGCTTATGGCCTAATCATCTCTCAAAAGGCCCCTCCTCTTAGAATTATCACATTAGCAACACCTGAGTTTGGGCACAAACACAAACTGTAGCAGGTCTTTCAAAAGTTACTTTGCTGACTTTTTCTTCACTGAATCCACAGGTGGATTAACGTCAGCCAAGTTTCTCTGTGGCCTGGGAGTCTTGCTAGCTCTTTAAAACGAGTTAGACTTTGTAGTGTATTCTCTGATGCTTCACGTGTGAACCGTGATTTAAAGATCAGAGGGTGATACTCTGTGACTTAGGGAAAGTTCTCAATGACCATCTCATAATTGGTTCACACATAAAGTGCCTTTAATGCATGGGACTATGTTACAGAACAGGACTTCTCCAGCTTTAAGGTACACATGGGCCTCCTGGGGAACTTGTTAAGCTGCAGATTTGACAGATCTCTGGTAAAGCCAAGAAACTGCATTTATAACTACACCCAGGTGAGCTTGACAGTGCAGGTATATATGGACAACACTTGGAGCGGCAAGGTGGAGAGAAATCTAGTTAATTAAGTGTCAAAGGTAGGATTTAAGCTCTTTCCACAGTGTTAAAATAGAGAAATAGAAAGCTGAATTAAAAAATTATTTGGTATAACTATTAAGTGCAATGCTAAAATTTAGAAGAACTACTTCCCTTGAGAATAGAGTCACAATCTGCCCCACTTCGAAAATGGTGACACTAAACATCATGTACATATTCTCTAAGGGTCTCTGACTATCCTAGTACCCACCAGATGACAACAATAACTGACAACATGATTAAGGAAGACAGCACCCTGACACCAAGAGATGAGGCCCAGAATGTTCTGGAAAACAGCCCGCTCTGCGAGCAACCACTCAAGTTCAGAGCCACACAGCCTGGGAGCCTGGTGCGGAGCATGAGCGTGTGAGCTCTCCCTCATGAATCGCTCATAACACACAAAATGAAGGATTTTGTATCTACAGTGTGATGTTTGGGGATCACATGAATCTGAACTTGCATAGCCAGAGATACTGCCTCTGGATTTCACAATGAAGGCAGTTTCAAAGCCCTGTGGGAAGAGTATTTTCTGTGTGGTTTTCATTAGTCAATAAAAAAACCCCACTGTGGTAGATGAGGCCACAGTGCATCCAACATCTCTGACACTGGCACCAACTGAGGTGTTTGAAGAAGACATGCTGTCCTCTCTGTCATTTTGCAGAAGTTTAGCAAACAGAACAAACACCTCTCCTGCTTCTTCTGATGCCTGACATCTATTAATTTCAAGTGAACCTATAGCTTCCCTCAACTTACAGAACCAGGATCTCTCAGAGATTAACTTCTTATGTTTATTTTACACCGTTGAGAGTTGAGTGTCCTTCTACTAGTCTTGACCTGTAATCAAAGGAGTCTCTTTGCATTTATTCTGTCTTAAATTATTTCATTTATGTGTTGTTTTCTCTATTAGAACAGAAGTCCACTACTTTTATAATTATTGTTGAGGAGGTTTCTCTCTCACAGGATGAATTAAACTTAATATTGATTGAAAATATGAATAAGCTCTAGTGCAAAGATCTGCTCATCACATGGTATCATTCCTCTGGAAGAATCTCATCATCACATGGTATCATTCACCTGGAAGAATCTCAAGTTTTTGAATGGAATTTCCTTGAAGCTATCTTCTCAGTTTCTTTAATTTTGGTATACAAAGGGTTAGAAAACCATTAATTGAGGGCCTATTTGCATTACTTCTACACTTTCCAGTTCTTTCCAATTCAAATTAAGAGATATCTACTGAATATGTATAAATCCAAATGCACACACTGCAGGACACAGCTCTTAATACCACGCACTTGTGTCCTCTTGGAGGAAATTCCTTAATAAAACAATAGTGAGCATTTAGCCTCTGCCTTCCGACCATTTTGACATAATAAAAACGTATCACCTACTTGGTCAAACTGGGGGTCTTCTCCACGCTGCAGAGATTTTGTCAATGGCTTTTCCTACAAAGAAAAGAATATATGTATACAATAATTATTATTACAAAATTTTAAGCATTATAAAATAAACATTATTATTATACAATTTTCTTAATATTTTTCCCTTTACAGAATGAGCAAGTACCAATATTTAAATGAGCGAGAACATCTCCCTTAACTGATCTTAGCTTGTAGGCTCTGATCACTTCTGTCTGGATTCTTGGTGTCCATCTTAACCCATACCTCTTTGAGCAAAACATGAAGAATCTGAGGCTTGGGGGAATGCAAGTTAAAACTACCATGAGATATTACCTCATACCTGTTAGACGACTTCTATGAAAAAGACAAAACAGAAATAGGAATCCCTGTATATTGCTGGTGAGAATGTAGATTTAGTACAGCCAAGTATGAAAGTGGTTCAAAAAGTTAAAAGTAGAACAACCATATGATTCACTAATTCGACTTCTGAATATGTATCTAAAGTAAATGAAACCAGTATGTTGAAGAGCCTCTGCATGCCCATGTTCACTGAGGCATTATTTATAATAGCCAAGATCAGGAATCAACCTATGTGTCTATCAATGGATGAATGGAGAAAGGAAATATGGGAGTACTACTCAGCCTTTAAAAAGAAGGGAATTCTGTTATGTGCAACAATGTGGATGAACTTGGAGAATGTTGTGCTAAGTGATAACAGCCTAACACCAAAAGATAAATGTTGTACAATTTTGTTTATATGTGGAATCTAAGGGTCAAGTTCAAAGAAGCAGGGTAGACTGCTGATTGGCAGTGGCTGCTGAGGACAGGTTAGAAAAGGGGGAAGGGGAGATCCTGGTCAAAGAGTGCAGGATTTTAGTTAGGTGGAATAAGTTTTGGATCTATTGGATAAAATACTGACTATATTTAATACTGATATATTATGCTATGATCTGCATGTGTCCTCCCCAAATTCATGTTGAAACTTAACCCTTCAGATGATGCTATTAAGAGACAAGGCCTTTGGGTGGTGACAAGACTCTGAGGGCAGAACCATCATGGATGGAATTAGTGCCCTGGGAGTCTGCTCGTCTTCTACCATGCCAGGATGCAGCAAGCAGACCCAACTATGAGGAAGAAGGCCCTCGACAAATCTGCTGGTGACTTGATCTGGCTTTCCAGTCTCCAGAACTGTGAGCAACAATTTTCTGTTGTTTAAAAACCACCCTATTTATGGTAATTTGTTATAGCAGCCTGCATGGACTAAGACATGCTATATACTTGGAAATTGCTGAGGAAGTAGATTTTAAATGTTCTCACCACACATACACAGATAAGTGTTTGAGGTGATGGATAAGTTAGGGGAGATTTAGAACATACTGGAACATTAGATCTGGGAGAGTGAGTGTAAAAATGTAGGCATAAACACAATAATGAGAAAAACAACAGAAGCAGTTAAATGTACAAGAAGATAAATTCAGCAATTAAATTGGAAAGCATTTCCTGTCTCTATAAAGGTTATAAGGTCATCTTCTGAAGTTCTCAGTAAAATCAACTAAAATACAAAAATGAAAATTAAAGAAGGGTGGAGAGGTGGCACCAGGTCTGACAAACATCCTTGGGATGAGCCAGTGTGAACTGTTCTACTCCACATTTTCTTTATTCCTCACCCAGCAGTGACTGAGGGTTCCCTTGTGTCAGATGCTGCCTGCTGGGTAGAAGGCTAAAGAATGTGACCCCCTTCCCAAATTGGGGAGGAGAGTCCTTGTGGGCAAAGTGGGCAGTGATCTCTCTTCTCTCTCTCTCTCTCTTAATAGTTTTTTAGATGTTGATGGACCTTTATTTTATTCATTTATTTTTATGCAGTGCTGAGGATCAAAGCCAGGGCCTCACACATGCTAGGCAAGTGCTCTTACCACTGAGCCACAACTCCAGCCCTGGTAGTGCTTTCTGAGGTGTGCTATACTACTGGCTCATTCAAACCTCAGCTCAGCCATCATGTCCTTAGGGGAAGCCTTTCTCTGATCCCAATACCAGGTCCACCCATCCCCCATCAGGAGACTGCAAGGTTCCACATCCTTTACCTTTTGGAGCACTTATCCGTGTGAAGCTGCATTACAGTGCAGAACCTTGCTGTACAGGAACCCCTTTGGAGTGGCGCCCTGAGGGCCACCCCTACTCGGCAGGAAGCCCTAGATACCTAGCAAACTCTGTTTCTCCGGACACTTAAAAGTCCCAGCAGAGCCTAGTCTAGTGCACCTGCCAAATTAATGAAACCTCTAGGATGGGGGTGTCCGGTTTCTTCAAATACAAGGATCCTTTTTTGTGTGTGTGGATATGTTTATGCATGTTTTGTTGTAAGCTAAAAAAATATTTTATTGTGGCAAAATAGACATAATAAAATTTTCCAGTTTACCCACTTTAAAGTACATGATTCCGTGGTATTAAATAAATGCACAGTATGGTTCTCTCATCCCTACTATTTCTTTTATGAAGATTCCCTTTTCATGCCAAAAATTGTTAAGGGATTCTGAACCAAGACAAGCCCCCATCATACAATATAGGAATTCTAATTTAGTACCTATTGTTTAACACCACACGTGATCACGGAGCTCATCCTAAGGTTTCAATGGTACCGGCAAGTGGCTTGTAGTATATGTGAGAAAAAAGGAAATGTGTCTATATGCAAGACCACAAGACCAGCTAAAAACTAATGCTTGACTCATCTGTAGGTAAATAGACCCTTGCAACAATGAGGAGGTCCACACCTTGAGAACCCACAATACAATGTCCTTTCACTAT